GATGAACGTTTTGCTGGGGAGTTCGTACTGCGACGAACCTTGTGGCCCGGAACCAGACCTCGTAGAACTTGAGGGTTGAGCGCCATCCTCGTCGTTGAGCTTCTTGCGCTTTTTCTGTTGGAACTCGTCGCTGCGATCTTTGAACCGCACGGGCTCATCTGGCGCAATCTGCACGTTGCCTCTCATAGTCCTTATGGTCTTTTTCGTTACATCGGAGAAATAATGAATCTTGTATTCATGTTCGACCTAAAAAAATCATGCAGTTAGAAGATCATACAAAGCAAAGTCCGCACTCACGTCGGTGGCCTTCAAGCAGAACGCGTACGCGTCCCACTCAGCATGTGCGATAAGATTGAGTGTTAAGCCATTGGCGACATGGTCGGCGTGGTCTTCGAGATTTTGGATGACCTTCTCTCCGAGTCCAGTGAAGTGCCGAAGAATATCGAACGTCAGAGCGGCTGCACGAGACTGGAAAGTACGTATCAGCTCGTGAGTACACTGAGAGAATAGACGTCAAACTGACAGCATCAGTGCCATCCTTGAAGGTGGCAACAGCTCGACGGAGTATGTGTGAAGCCTCCACGGGAGCTGCTGGGAGGTCACGGTCGTGCAGGTGTTCCTTGTCCAACCAACCTGTTATCACACATTGATACCCGTCTCGCCTCAGAACCTAAACAGAATCGGAGCGTGTTAGTGCATGGTGGAATTCTAGAAGAGGTCCAGTCATTGACATCGTCTCGAGACATCGTCCTCGACGGCTTCAATCCTTTCTGGAGCGACGCCGCGGTTGTATCAAGCGTCGGCGTCACAACGACGGATGGTGTACGATATGGCTGCTTTCTGTGGCTACCGGGACCGGCTTTGACTGAGTCAGACAATCAGTCGCATCGCGAGTCGTCACAGAAAGCGAACGAAGAACACACAAATAAACAGCACATAGAACGTCCACGTCTCTGCCACCGCCTTCAGCCGCTTCATTGAATCGAGACGTTTCTCGTCGTCGGTCAGTCCTTGTGCCTGCGATTCACAGGAAAGAATAGCAGCGAGAACGTATTTCTTGCCATCGACGCCCACAGCATGCTCAATCCCTTTGAGGACTCCATCGAGTTTCAGTTTTGACCCGCAGAAATCGGTCTCGTTAAAGTCGCTAGACGAGAGGGAGGAGACGAGAAGTTCAGCTTTGGGAAGATATCTCTCAAGACCCTTCTCTGTAACGGTGCGTTGAAGGCGTTCGATGTCGGGTTTGAGCTCCTCGTAGACGCCAAGAGACACGCTGGCCGTCGAGGCCGTCGAGAGAGTGGAAGAAACAGATCCCGCCGACTGGATGCTTTTGATAGTCGCATTCGATTCGATAGAATCGTTGCGATGATGAACTTGCTGCGATTCAGCCATGATCGGGAGGAAAGAGAAGGACGTCAAGTCAGGAAATGAACGAGCCGATTTTATTTTGATCGAGAACAAGGCCAAGCAAACAAAGCCAAACTTTGCGATCGCTTGTTTGTCTTCAGGAGGGAGGCAATTGCCATGGAAGCGCCCACACCTATTGTTCATTTTCTGTGAAACCACACACCCAACCTCCTGCCGAACATCGGAAAGGAATCATGCGATTTCAGCAGCGTAGAGATTTTTCGCTATCACCTGCTCAAAACAAACCCCTGATACGCCGCATCCACGGCTGAGTAAAATCGTCTCATTTTCGCAAAATCTCATGCACATAAGATTATAGTCTGCTGCTGAGCACAACCAAAGCCCAAGAACAGGTTCTCGAGGCACGGCAAGTCAATTACACTTGTCACGTCGGTACCTGAGTGAAAATCCTTTAAGTCCCAACAACGACTCAATTAAGCGATCGACGTCGTTGGCGACTAGAGACTACTAGAGAGCGTGTCCATGGCATTGAGTTCCGAAGTCGCGTTTCGTCGGACATAGCATCCGAGCTTACCTTGTGCTCAGTACTACAGACGAGTGTGGTTAAGGCAGTTTGGTGCTGCGCTTTCCCCTCATTAGGTTCAGGACATGAGATTCAGTGTTTTTGAGTTTTGAAATTAGTTTCAATGGTTTTCAGTCAGTCAGAGCGTAACAGAGCATCCCAATCAAGTTCGAGAATTCACCCAATCACCCTGCACATTTTATTTGAGCGGAAACCGTCTGGTATTCACTCTACGACGTCCGAAGAAGCAAATTCTAATTTTAGGTTTACCGAAATGCGACACGTCCCCTTGAAACCCTTTTAAATTGTTGAAGTGTGTGATCCTTCGATCACGCGGGCTTAGACAATTTCAAGGCTAACCTCGCAGCAAGAACTTCACCCTTCGGAAGCCACCTTGGAACTCCTCGATAGGAGAAATGCGCAAGGAACGTTTACACGCTCGCTCGACGTGAGTCCCTCAATTGGAGGCACATCATCGACTAGCCCATAACCACCCGCCTCGCTCTCCCTCTCTCTATCCCGCCTTCAGTTCAGCAGTCTCCAGACTTCCGAGGCGACTCGCTCAGCAGTCGACGGTGTGCTTTTAGACCACCTTCGTCGGCAAAGTAGCACCAGCAGAGAACGTAAAAGAACGACCAGAGGTCATCTAAGTGGGTGTGGAAATCACCCTGGCTTCGCGACGACGGTAGAAGTCCGGCATTCATCAGGGCCATCGTCAATATTTTGGTCGACGTGAACGGGACAGTGCCCTGGAATATGGGAGTGATTTAAGAATGGAACAACGACATAGAAAATAAAATTCTTACCACTGGCGCTTTCCCAAGGAGAGGCTGCTCGGGTTCCAGGCAGATAGCCGTCCTCGATACCCTACTTGGGCATCGAAATTACCAAGTAAGATGTTATTGGCCGAGATATCACGATGAAGGATGCCACGGTCCCATAAACGGGACGTTAGCCATGCAGCAAAGACTTTGAGGAGACCTTTAGAATCATCATCGAACCAATGTTTCTCATATTCATGCTCTACCTGGGAAGATCCGTCAGGTCCTCAGTCGCCAGATCAGAAGAGCCCGCTTCTCTTCGCCGGTTTGCTCGTGTCGCTTGTGGGGAGTTCACATGCCCGGATAACAGCGACGACATATTTCTTGCCCTTCGTACCCAAAGCATACTCGAGCATCGCTTTCAAGACTCCGTTGAACCCACCCGAGGGTTGGATAGTCTAAAATGCGTACGCGCGCTGGCGTTTGAACATGCTAAATGGGTGATTGTCTAAACAGGATATGTAGAGAGTGGAGACATATTGTGAGCTGATCATAGCATTCAGAAACAACAGAACGGGGTTGGGAACGAAGGCTCGATGATAGAGTCAGATAGACGAGACTTCATCGGGATGGCCTAACACCGTCCTCATGCCGGAGTGGCGCCTCCGATGCGCAGTCCTTGTCGTAACCACTCGTTGAGGTGGAAGCTCCGAATCTTGTCCTCGAAGTCGTCCCAGGAACGCACAGGGCGGTTCTTCTCGTCATCTTTATCATACTTATCCAGAAGTTCGTCGAAAAACTTGCCAGCTCCGCTCATATGCAGCACGCCGCCGACAGCCGCATGGATAGCGATGAACGTCTTGCTGGGTAGCTCGAACCTGAGCGAGGATCGCGAACTCGAGGCGGAAGTTGAGGGAGCTTGGTCTTCCTCGTTAGGTTTCTGGCGTTTCTGAGGCTGAAAATCGTCGCTGTGGTCAGAGAAGCGGACTAGTTCGCCACGTGGAATCCCGGCCAAACCACGCATATCTTCGAGCATATCTTCAATCAGGGGGTTGAAGTAGTGGATCTTGTAGACGTGATCGACCTGGATGATGCATGAATTTCGGCTCCTCTCTTCGAAGTACGACGATTTTACCTCAGTGGCTTTCAGACAGAAATTGTAATCGTCCCACTCGCCATGAGCCATGCTGAGCAAGGTCAGGCCGTTCGCAACATGGTCTGCATGATCTTCCAGATTCTCGATTACATCGACTGGCAGGCCAGTGAAATTGCGAAGGACGTCGAACGTCAGGGCTGCGTTACCTGTCTAAAGCCACGAGTCAGCTCTCTAGAATGTAGGAGACCCGCCATACATACATTTTCCCTCGGGAACGAGGCAGCAGCTCGACGGAGGATGTGCGCAACCTGGAATTGAGTGGCAGCCTTGCCCGTCCGCCCGTATAAGTGTTTCAGGTGCAGGAAACCCGTTATGACGCATCTGTAGCCATCACGTCTCTTTACCTAAGAGAATACGTCGGTATACTAGAGAAATCGAGCTACTCACATCTTCCACGGGCATTGTCCTTGACTGGCCAGCCCCTTGATCAAGCCTTGTAGCAGTGTCCTCGAGGGTTGGTGTTGCGGCCCCTGATGACTCGAAGAATTTCTGGGTTTTGTGGCTGCCAGGCCCACTTTGACTGGATCATGGCACCATTGATCAGTTGGCGTCAGAGAAGGAGGGCGGAAAACTCGCAAATAAAGAGCAGGTAGAAGACCCAAGTCTGTGCCACGGCCCTTAAATGCGTCACCAGGATCTTGAGCCATTCCTCGTCGCCCTCTCCTTCCTCGTCAGCCTTTGATCCACATTCAAGGGTAGCTGCGAGGACGTATCTCTTGCCCTCAGCACCCACAGCATGCTCGAGCATCCCTTTCATCACCGCATCGAGTTCAAGTGTCGATCCCGAGAATGAGATCTCATGTTCGTTGCTTTTTTTGAGACAGTCAACGAGATATTCAGCCCTGGAAATGTCCTTCGCAAGATCAAGCTCCTGGTCCTTGACAGCGCTCAGACGCCGTTCAATGGTGGGCGCAATGTCCTTGTAGATGCTGGCAGATTCAGAGGCATTAGAGGTTGTGGAAGAAACAGAGTCAGCGGATTGGATGCTGGCGATGCTTCCGGTTGATTCCGTAGACTGGTTGCGATTATGAACCTGGGCCATTGTTGGGGGGAGGAAAGGATACGAACAATGCCAACCAAACAAATGTAAACTATTGCAGTCATCACAATCGCGTCGAGGGACACCACAAATTGTCATGGAGAAAACGGGTGTTATTTCAACTTGAGATGTGGACAGGGTATACGGATAAAGGGAAAACGAGCAGACAGAGTAACGCAAACAGAAGTAAGAGAAAGGATGGAAGAGGCAGGTGAATACAGGAAACTGAACCTTTCTTGCCGTAAAAATCCTACAGGTCGAGCACTTCACACGCGCTCTGCTCCTGAGAGCTTCCTCAAGCCACGGTCCATAGGATAGGCACAAATGTGAGAGTCTGCAAGCGTATCGACAGCATTATTAGTATCATAGCCAGAGAAAGAGAGCAACCAGAGAAAGAGGGCTTACGCATTCGATGAAGTCAACACCGTACTTCGCGGCATACGCGTCTGGATCGCCGGTGAAGAAGAAGCCAGCTATTCGTGGGGAGGGGGGGCGAGTGTTAGTGGCAACAAAGTGAAGAAAAAGTGATGTGATTTTACGTTCACGAGCGTCATAGTGAATAGTGACGTTTAGAGCCGTACCGTCCGGGTTAATCCAGACAGGTTTGACAGTCTGCGTAGCACGATCATAGTTCCACTATAATCCATTTAGTGAGGGTCAAGGCGTGTACGCAGACTCGGAAAAACTGACGATAGCGCTTTGCCTGACGCCCTCTGTATACTGCAGGATCGTGTACCCAGCAGAAGTGGGCCCGTTCGCGGGGCCTGCACCGACGGTGGTCAAATCTGTGAAGGTGAAGACTCCGAAGCTACGCATCGAATCGGCGTCGTTATCAGAAATCAAGACCTTCATGTGGGTGAGAAGAAAGGACTGACTTTGGTGAGCCGGGACCCATCTGCGCCTGCTCGGGTGAAATGGCCATTGCGCCGAGCCATGCGACCGCATTGCTCCAGTAACCGGCCTAGATAAAAACATTTAATTCAGTAGGTTCAAAGGGGCCATTGCGAGCAGCGAGAGATAAAGGCAAATATACGAACAAAAAACCACGCCTCTAGGGGGAATGCCTCCTCCAACTCAACAATGAGCGGATACATGTAGTACTCGCCCTGCACCTCTTCCCCGGAGGCGCATACCTGACCCCAGAGGTTTGGCCACCTCCCGAAGATGTGTCGCTGTCCAGTGGAAGCTTCGACACAGTGGATGTTTCCCCAGCTACATGGGGATGAGGATGCATTTCTTCAGAAAAAATAATGAAGTAAACGAGAACGGGAGGATACGTACTTGGGAGGAGCTGCGGTTCTTTGAGCTGCAGCTGGAAGATTTCAAGAAAAAGGAAATTGAAGGAGTGAAAGATGGAAAATTTGGGGATAAGAGAGGGCGTACAGCGGCTGTTTGGAAGTGCAACGTTCTTGCTTGTGCCTTGGACCTGGGCTCGGACGCCTACAGTGGCGATGGCGAGTGCTGCAAGAATGCTGAATTTCATTGAAGTATTTTGTTGAGTAAGTGAATGGCGTGTAAGTCTGAGGGAACGCGAGAGATGGCCAGGCTCGTAAATCCTGCCATGCCGTTCGAGAGCGGCAGAGAGGACATGAAATATGTAGCGGCCTCTTACAACCTCTGTAATGCACTTTCCTATTTTTCAGTTTCCCGACTGCCGTGCGAGGGGATGAAAATGAAGGATTGATAGGATTCTTACACTACATACCTTGCATCGACGGTTGTACGCGTCACACCTTGGTCTTGGCGGGCTTGCAAGTTGCGAAGCGCCTTGGGCATTCATTCGAACATGACGTATGTAGGACACGGAGATGAAAAACAAGACCTAACGCCGCTCAGACGAGCTCGCCTTCACACCGACGTGTTTCGTCCAGAGGAAATTTCTTGGAGACATTGTAAGTAAGTCATTTCGTACCGTCAGACGAAGACGCACTGCTGACGACAGATGTTTCCAGTTCATAGAATTCGACGAAATGCGAACAGCACACCACGACATAACCCAACGCCATGACCTTTTCATCTAAAAAGAAACAATTAACACACAATTCGGGAGCGAACAAACGCCAATCCACCGACAGTCAAGGAGCACGGAATGACCGCCGATGTTATCGCGGGTGTACGCGCCGCTCGCCATCGGCACGTGGACGACCCTCTCCTTTGTCCTCCTGATGAGGGCGATAATGAGTAAATCGCCGCGTTTCGTCGATGGGTTATGTAAAGATAAAAAAGGCCAACGACTCGCCTCGCCTCGGATCCAAGGTCTTTCCTTTACCCCGATCTACTCGCGCCACTCACGAAATACCACAATCCAGCCAGCCAGCCAGACAGGCCGCAGGCTCCAGCTACCCACACCGAGATGGCCAACGGCGGCGCCGGCGCGAATACACCTGCACCCGCAGCATTACCGCATCCCATCTTCATCGCGCAATATGCTATCGTTGGGCACCCCCGCCGGACCGAACATTGGTCGATCATGGCCCTCCTCTCCGCGAAAAAAGCACGCATCTTCGAACTTACTGGCAACTACGACACCTTCGCCTACGTCAATTACGAGACGATCCTTGCAACCGATCCCCGTCAGCACGACGCCCGTGGAGGTTTTCTGTTGTGCCAGATCTCCGACGAGAAGCTTGAATGGTTCGCGAATGCGTTGAAGGCGATCGAGGTCGTCCGGGGTACGCCTGATTACGATTGTCAAACTTGGGCCATGCAAGCCGTCAGACTGTTGCAGGACGGAGGGTTGGTGCCACGTGTGGTCACTGAAAGGCAGATTCGGGAGGAAATGGAAGTCGAAAAGGAGCGCTGGGAGGTTGCGGACGATATCCTGCTCGAAAGACTCATCGCCGAAAGGTCCTGAGAAGAAGCTCCCGAGAGGAATTGATAGCGTACGAATTGTTCGCATCCTCTCATACATACGAGTGGCACTCGGCCTATGTCATGACGTCGGCTCCTGCTAGTGCACGGTCCAAGATAGGCCCTTAGGTATACGATTCTGAATTGAAGCATTGCACTGCGATCAGAAAGTCGAGAGAGCATGGCACATATCATATGAGGTTCATTACATACGGCATGTAGGTGATGCGAAGTGTATCGTCTGGTTTTGATGCGACCCCCGTCGTGCTATCCTCCCCGACGTCCGAGAGTCAAATCGAAAAGCAACAAGCTGAAATGCTTATGCTTTTGACTTGCCCAACGCCTTCCTGACGATGTCCCTCCTCTGCTTCTTGGCCAACATCACCTTAAAGCGGTCGAAGTCGTTTAGTGACCGTCTCTTCTCAACGGCAACAAGCTTTTGGGCCCAGCCTGACTTGCTCCACTTCTCGACGATAGCCTGCTTCTCGAGTTGCTTCTTGAGGGGGCCGCTGCCGGCGCCACGAGGAAGACCGACGATCTTGAGTGGTGTCAGGGTAAGGTGTTTGAAAGGGTAGGATTGGCGGGGGACGTCGGTTGTGGGGCCATCGATGATTGCCTAGAGATTAGGGTTAGAAAAGCAGCACGAAATACAACGAAGTAAAACGTACGCGGTTGTGGTCGATGATCTCGCTAATGACAGCGATTTTGCCAGCAGAAGGACCGGACTTGAGGAGGACGACTGGAGAGGAGTTTAACGATATATTCGATCCAGAGTCGAAAACCACGTACCTCGTCCAACCTCGACGAAGCGCTTGAAGTTTGAATCCTGAGAGCAGAAATATCAAATCAGAACCTCGTCATAATCGCCCCAGATACGCAGCCCCAGCCATCCGCAACGCCTCCATAGCTCTATCCCGGCAGCGGCCCATCGCAAAAGTCTCCCTCACAACCTCATCCGACTTCGCCTCCACCCATCCAGCCTCTCCTGGTCTCCAAAAAGGCCGTTCTTCGAGTAGAGTGCACCCCATGGTCGTAGGTTCGGCATAGAAGGGAAATTGTGCTCACCGACATCGTAGATTTTGTGCTTGAGGGCTTGAGGAACGGCGGCGACGATGTGGACAATGTTGATTGTGGCTGTGAAGTTTGGATTCTGTTTGTTCGTGCTTCTGGTCACGGGCGCCGCCGGACGGCGGCCCGTTCCCTTTGCTCTGAACGGTCATCTCCTGACTCTTCAGATTTCTTTCTCTTGCGCCCTATGGCCTATCGGTCGGGAGAATTTACGTCAATGACTCATACGGAAGATATACCTCCTTTCGATGCCTTCAGACCTTTGGAATGCACCGCTCTTCTGATACGAAACCTCAACTAAAATAATCTTGACTAGCTCGGGTTGGGCGCTGTGAACTTCAAAATGGATTATCGTTCACCTATCCGCTGTAATGGCTGCCAAAAGAATCCGTGGCGACGATTTCCAACTCCCAACCCTACCTAGTATTGGTGGCTATCATGAATTATTTCGTGCAGCTGCTGGTGGTTTCTTCTTGCGCTCACACCATAGGGTCTTCCACTGCTCAACCTGCGAGTCTTTTCTGCTACATTATGGGACTATGCACCACTGGTGTGCCAGAGGCAGCTCAAGCATTTCGAAAATAAAGGCGGCTTCCGCAGTCAACCTTTCCGACGATATTGGTGCATTTTGCCTAAAAGTGGCACCGACATAATCATTCACCGAAAAATCCACATCACAGGTTCTCGTCCCAGCCGAAGTAGTTCCTCACCTACCGAAAGAGGACAAGATCGACTTCATTTTCACAAGGTTGCAGGTCGACGGCATGCTTTAGTGCGCTCTATCGCTCTGTCGTTATTAGTTCGGCTGTCTTCTCTCCTCGCGGATATTCCTCTATGGCGGCCCCCATATGAATAGACGCCACACAGAAGTCGATCCGACTCCCTGGCTTCACTAATCCATGAATTCCTACTGGTCGCGGCGTCTCACACCTAGCGTCTCCGAGGCGCGCGATGTGTCGGTGATGAACACTTCTCCGCAGCCAAACTTGCGCCGAGAACTTCTGTAAATGCCTAGCTTTCAGCGCTCGATGGTGTTTTTCTTTGAGACGTAGAGGCGGTTACCCAACCAGGGTGCAAGCATTTCGTTTAAAATCAATGGGTATCCTTGCTTTCGAGAGTCAGTCTCCTCGTCTCATTCAACTCGATCTACCACGCTAGCATGCATTTCGCTAACCTCTTACTCATCGTTGTCTTCGCCACTGGTGTCTTCGGTACGTGGATGGTTTCATCTGAGAAAACGCTGCTAACACAGATATTTTAGCTCACCCCGGTGCCCATGGAGAGCTTGTCGACAGGGTAAGCCTTTTCAGGCCTGTCAAACAGCACGAATGGCGGCTCATCAACTATCCAGGCAGAGCACGAAGCCCGTATCCTCCAGGCCAGGAAATGCGCTGCTGAGATCGCCCAATTCGAGCAGATGCGTCGCGAACTCCGTGACCCACAGCTTAAGAAGAGGCAGACCGCCACCACCACTGCTCCAACTCCGCACTACACAACGATCCAAAACGTGAAACATATTTCATCGTCATTCCACCCTTCGACTAATTCACCCCTTAGTCAACTTGTATTACCGCTCCTGAAGTCGTCGAGGGTCCGTACTACATTGGTAACGAGTACATCCGCTATGACCTTCGAGAGACCCAGCCGTAGGTGATATCATCGATGGGGTCTTGCTTCAGACTAACAATATCGAAGAGGTGTGAAGCTCGTTCTCGACGTCGGTGTTATCGACACCACCACATGCCGGCCTTTTACCAATGCTTTTGTCGAGCTTTGGGCCGGTGCGTTCATCCTTCTCAAGAATCGGCCATAGCGAATACTCACTCTCTTTCTGAACAGCCAATTCCACAGGTGTCTACGGTGGGTACGGAGCAGGTGGTAACGTCAAGAAAGACACATTCCTCCGTGGCGGTCATTTTACGAACGCCCAGGGAATCGTCGAGCTCACCACGTCGTATCCCGGCTTCTACCAGGGCCGTACTGCTCACATCCATACCATGGTGCACAAGAACTCGCAGCAGCAGAACAACGGGTACGGCACTTTCTTCCAAATTGCCGTCGTCGCTGACCCGTTCTTCCTGGTCCATAGTACGATAATTTCAGCGTCTGGTACACTCACCCACATCGGCCAATTCTTCTTCGACGAGTCCTGGAACGACAAGGTTTATACGACATCCCCTTACACCCTTAATACCCAGCGTCGTACCTTGAACAGCCAAGACGGGATCCTTCGAAGCGCTGGTGATGCAGCCTTTGTCAAGTAAGGAACTTTTCTGCGGCCTCCGGGCTAAATTTTCAATTTCGCTCATCAATTGCCATTCGCATTAGTCTCCAGAATCTCGGCGGCTCGCTCAGCGACGGATTGCTCGGATACATCAGTGAGCTCCTCCTGTACCACATCCTCGATCCTTCCGTCTGACCTCGCCGTTTAGCCGTTGCTGTCGATGGAAGCAAGGCTTACACCTTCCAGAACAAGAACGTCCTCTGAGCGACGTCGGAGTTGGGAGTTGGAG